TGAAAAAAGTTTAATTTTTTAAAGGTTGAGGAAATTTTTTAAGCATTTTCATGGAACGTACAACATTATTAGACCCTTTAAAATCCCCAATTTTTAAAAAATGGTCGAGAGGGAGCGCGGCTACAGACGGCCATCTTGACCAAGTCTAGCTTGAAGATGACTATCTCATCTATTTTTTTTGAAAGTTTAAACCATCTTTTTTTGTTGTCTATGCTTTGTTTTCAGCAGCTGCTTAATTCGACTGAATTAAATCAGCACTCATGAGTATCTAATTGCATTTTTTTTATAATTATATAATTTAAGGGATTCAAAAGATTGAATGTTTCCAGGGTAGCTTTTTCAGAGAGTGCATGAAATAAAAAATAAAGATACATTCAATACAGTATTCAGTATTTATAGTATTGTTTCTGACATACCAGTAGTATAGGGCGCACCGGTTACTCCTCTTTTTTGCGCAGGAATCTCATTAGCGTGCGCAGGAATACATTAACGCCAATGACGTCATAACCTTTTATCTTTATCTCATGAATAAAATGCGCAGGAATCTCATAAAGATAAGGTCATGTGCTCTTTTTAGATGGATGATATCATTGTTTTTTGTTTTTATCTCATAAATAAAATGCGAGGGAATCTCATTATTTTCCCTTTTGTGCTTTTCTCATACAATAGAAACAATAGGCTTGCCTAGACTTGCCCGGTAAGTAACTTGAGCCCGGTTTAAACGTCTATTAAAAGGAAAATAGGAATAAGAGAAGCGATCACCTAGCAACGCGAGAAACGGCTTCCTATATCTTATTTAGCGCTAAAACTCAGATATATATAAACACAAAGTGGAGTTGAAAAGTCTTTATTTCAGTTTAGTTTATGTCTCCTTATTTAGCTCTAAAACTCGGATATATCAACAAAACATACACAAAGGGGAGCTGTAAACTCTTTATTTCAAGTTTGTCTGACTATTACAGAACTGTTTTCTCCTTTCTATCTCGAGGAAATGAAAAACTATTACAGTCTCAGCGTTTCAAGCACGGTTAATCAGTTAATTATGCGAGTTCACAAGCCCAAAGTTGAATACAAATTAGCACTACAGGAAAAACCTCAAGGGAGCACCTTGACGTATTATTATAAGATAAATAACTTAACAAGGATCAAGAGATACCGTTTAAAACAAAAAGAGTCGAATACCAAGCGATTTGAAAGAAATCTATTAAAATAGTCCAAGAAAGCAAGCTATCTTTTTTACCACGTTTCCCTCCTCAATTTTTTTGAGGTCATTGGCGTTAATGTATTCCTGCGCAAGTTAATGAGATACCACAGCATTTTATTCATGAGATCAAGACAATAGCCTATGACGTGACCTAGTTAATGTATTCCTGCGCAAAAAAGAGGAGTAACCGGTGCACCCTATACTACTCATACCAAACCTAAATTTAGCTATCCAACCTTTGAACACAACTGGAACACCCTGGCTTTAGCAAGTTTCTGGCTCAGTTTATTATACTTGGATGAATATTTTTATTGTCATTTCCTACAACGACTGCTAAAGCAGCTGTCATGCAGTGCAGTCTGAATGTAGTTAAAGGAGACATGGGAGTGAGTGGTCTAGTAGACCACATTTCACTAGTTCTGTAGAGACCTGGAGAGTGATCGGCAAGAAAGCATGCTTACTTGCATTGTCTATTAATTCAACAAACTTTACTCCACATTGTGTCCCTCTTTTCATGTGTATATACCTGTAACTGGCAGTGTCTCTTACAATCCAATTATGAAAGATTACAGTGTAGTCTGTTTAGAAGCCAAGGAGGCAATTTTAGTTAACTTACTGACAGAAAAAAAACTCTGAATTTGTGGGCATTATTGACTCAAAGCATGTCTTTCATTTACAATAAATTATTTTTTATGATAGCAGGTGGTTTCCGATTATTTTTCAGATCATGACACAGGATGACCCAAAGGGGAGAAGTAAAGCCGTGTTGATGCTTCAAATATAATTTTTAAAATGGCTTCATCGACATCTGGGTGAGCCTAAAATAAGTTGATCTTCATTATTAGCATGTACACACAAGATTGATTCAGCTAAAGTACAAACATATATTTTAACAATGATTAACTTACTTACAGCTGTAACTTACAGCTGCGCTGGTAACTTGATAAATTAAGAGTCGCTTTTATTGCAAAAGATTTTTGTAACTGATAAATGAACTCACCTAGACTGGGTTGAAAGGTTGAAGACCCTTCAACATAGCCACAAGTGTTCCACTTATGCTTTCTGATAAATTCAATTTATTTCGTGCTGCTTTTTTCATTATTTTTGTTTCTTAAATTTTTTCTTTTCTGTTTCATTGAAATTGCATTTTATTTAATTATTGACAAAAGGTCAAGTGAACCCTTTGGACTTAATTTGCATGAACCTTATAGCGGAGCTCTCGCGCGCGAAGCGCGCCAGCAGAGCACCATGGGTAAGAAAATTTGGTAAACTATCCATCCGATAAAATTTGGTTATGACGTAGCGTACGCCCGCCCGCCCGCCCACCCGTACACACACTTCATGTAAGCCGATGTCAAGTGTCACACTTGTCAGGACCGTGAAATAAATAACAACGGAGACTAATTCCGCTGGAAGAAAAACATGAAAATTATATAGCGGCGGTTAGAAAATAAAGAATGCTAGCGGCTACTAATGTGAAAAAGCTGCGGCAATGAAAAAATAGAATGAACAGGAACACAAACATTTCGTCCATAAAACGCGTAAATAGGAAGCTAAAAGAAGTTTCACGTTAGTCGTGTAAAACAACGGTAAGGAAATGTACAAAAAAAAACTGCTGCACGTGCAGAGTTGTTTTTTTGCTAATTAGAAAAAAAGTGTGCTGCACGTGCAAAGTTGTTTTTTTGCTAATTAGATCTATTGTTGTTGTTTTTAGCGTTTTCGTTGCTTTCAACTTGTCTTTAGTATTCATCGATTTTATATTTTCTTTGAGGAATCTATAAATATTAAGGTGATTCCATAGTAAAAGAACCTAACATAGATTTTAGCTAAAACTTGGTACACTGATGTAACAAGTCAAGAAGATGATAAAAAAGTAATAAAAAGTGGGGGTCACCGTGCTCGTTTTGACGTCACAATGCTGACAAATACGGCTATTTAGGACTCTTTTACAAAAACCGCGGGCAGCTCAAAACTAGACAAAAAGGAGAGATTTTTTCGATGATGCCTGTGACATCACACAGAATTTGACTTTATTGTATTGTTAATCCACTTACGTACCAGAAAAATGCCTTTTAATGCCCTTGTTTTTACTTTACGCTCCAAAGTAGAATAAAATTGGACGCGCGCTTTTCGACCCGTGATGGCTCAATCCATACAACTTAGTAAAATTGCCAAAAAACTGAACATAGATTTGTGCCAATTTTTTTCTCATCGAAAGGAAGCACTGTCCTTATCAAAATCATGAAATAAAAAATGGGGGTCACCGTACTCGTTTTTGCGGTAGAGCTGCAGAAAGTGCGCACCAAACGCATTTTCTCCGATTTTTGAGAGAGGACTGGGGCGAGTTTCAAAATAGAATGTATGTGAAAGGAGGAAGAAAGTATTAAAAAATCCGTTTTTACAGAATTTACATCGAGATATCACATTTAGGACACAATGTGATAAAGAAAGTGTTTAAATGAAAATCAAAGTGAGTAAGCACAAGTTAAACATCCACTATCGAGGTTCTCCGAGAGGAGGTCGAACTCAGCAACACGCGTACTGCTTACGTTATGCACATTCCCAACACATTGAGTCTCACCTCGGCAAGAAACAACAGCAAGCAAAAATTCCAATGGCGTTTCTTTTCAGTCAACTCCATTTTAATAATATTACTTCACATGCGTTTTTTTACGGCGGCCATCTTGTTATGCGCAGTAAGAGATGCGCAGTGCAAAACTAGGGAATCACCTTAAAGAGAGCTTCGCTTTTAGCCCTGGCTAAATCTATATATTACCGATCAAAGGCTCTGCCATGGCCGATCAATAAATAAGTTTGTTAAACAAAATCATAACAGATTTCTGCCTTTTGATCCGCACCACCCATAAAATCACGGGTCCCGTGACTACTTGTGCACGCACAAAGGATGCCGATGCATGTAGCGTCCTTTGACTCTCTGAGTGAAGTTTTAGCTTATTGTTTGTACAATACAAAGGTAATTTAACTTAAGCAAATCAATAATTCCAAGCTTTCGCACTAGTCTCCTTTTTATTTGGAAATGCAATCGCTTGATCAACTTGTAAATTATTTTGACTTCATAAAATATTTCAAGGATTTAAGCCAGAAGAATGTATAGAATGCCAGAAAAACAAACATGAAGTTGAATGATTTCAAATTGAGCTTCCACTTGTTTTCATCCGTATGCAGATTACCTATCGTTTCCATCAAACTGAATTATCCTTGCTTTTTTTCCGATTTTTTGACTTGCTTCGTTTCATTTTATATATTGTTTTTGTGAAAGCATAATACTTTCATGTGAGTTTATGCTTTCAAAAGGGTAAACTTTGAGGAAACATTGTGTTTACAGCCACAGCAATTAACATGTGTATTTGCTTCACTTACACGTATATGCAAATAATATTTACCCAACATTTGGGGGATTTCGCTGCATTCATGGAGACAAAAACATCACCTTGGATTTCTCAGATGCTTGCCTTTGTGGGTACCCTGTTTATTGTGACTTATAATCAGGATTTTTTTAGCTTTGCTTCGAACTAATCATTCCAAAGTTCTAATGCAGTGAAATCATGATAAATACTGCAACTGAATGAAGTCACGCAACACTCTTTCTCTACCAAAAAGTAGATAAGTCTGGACCTCTTCTAGGAAGACCCCCCTGTAGTTCAATTCTCGTAAGGGGCCACTTCCCTGCAGAAGTAACCATTAAATCTTTACATTTTGGTTGGTCTCTTATGGGAGTTCAAACAGGCCCAGTGGTGTTGCAAAGTTTCATTTGTTCTGGTAATATTCATTAATCTTCAGGTCAAGTCACCTTGGCGTGACAGATAATCAGAAAAGATGGCTGGTCTTTGGAATAGCACTCAACAAGATATTTGTGCCACATATCCGTCATTTTGTGGAACAAGAGGTTGATAAGGAATACAACAATCTCAAGACAAGCCACAATATTCATACACAAAGTACATCTGGTTGTCTTCAAAGGTGGCCTGCGAGAAAGTTTTTAAAGTATGAGAACATCAATGGTAACAGTCGTCACCCAAAGCTTCCGGGTGGAAAATACAACATTTCCTTGTTTGACTGCAGAGTGTTATCTCACATTGACTTTGCCAAGTTGTACGTTGAAAACTTCATGGCTAAGTTCAGTGCTTTTGGTGACCAATGTGATGCTTCAGCTGTACTCACATTACTTGGTGTTATGCGTGTGTTCTCAACTGCCGTGCAAGCTGCAGCTGGTGATGTCAGGAATGCTAGGAATGACTGGGCGCACTGTGTCTTCAGCAAGTGGGATCCTGTTAAGTTTCAGCAGAGTTTTGTTGAGATGGAACACCTGGCGAGAGTCATGGCTCTACCTGCCGCAGATGAAGCAAAACTCCTTGGAGAACTGAAAGATTGGGAGACTAAAGGTACTATATGTACTTCATATTATTATACAATTAATGGTTAGTATTATTAGTGTTGGTACATTTTTAACATTTGCTAAGCTTACTGTGCTGAAAGGTGCTGTTAAACAGTCAGGATCAGTTATCAGTCATTTATGTATACCAAATATATACATGGGTGTAGCTACCAGCTGTACCCAGTAGAGACAAAAAAATAGATGAGATCAACAGAAGCCAAAAAAGAGAAAGCTAAACAAGGTGCAATTCCTTTGATTTGCAACTTAACTTTAACTTTTTTGGATGATTCTTTTTCAAAACAAGTGGAGTGCATCGTTTTCTCCAATTTGGCACATTGGCAAAAGCCCTTAAATACTGCTACTTGAATAGCGTGGTCCTAAGACCAAAAGAGTTGAGTTCCTCACCATACTGATAAAACTGAAAAATGTATATTCAATCAAGTTCACTCTGCATTCTTAACTTCATTATTATCAAACGGTTCTTAGAAAACAAGAGCTTCTTTTTAGGTTTGAAGTTCCTTTCCAACTGTTTTGAAAAAAGGATCGCCCCCTCATTGATTTCAACGTGAAGGTTTAAAATATGGCTTTGATCCAGTAAGATTATTGATACTCCCAAGAAAATAGACCTTGGGATATTTGATGATTGGCTTTTTAGTTAGCTGTTCATAATATTTTGCTCTACTTATCTGTGTAGATACTATGTCTAATTTATAAATCTTTGTGCTTTGTTTGCAGAGACTCTGTTGTGCATGAACTCTCCTATAGACTCAGCATTGCTTCAACTAGTCCAGCAAGAAGTAAAATTTTTACAAGACAACCTGAAAAACTTTGACCAAGAAAAGGTGAGGGTACAACAAGAACTACAAAACGCTGCCATAATTCTTGAAGAAATGAAACAGACAGTGGAAAGACTGAATAATTTTCAAGGTAATCCAACCTGTTTAACCTCTCCCGCCCATTTTCATATTACTGACGTCATTAATGCAAAAATATATTGGTTTCCTGCTTTTTCTTTACTTGTGGGATCATTTAAAAATTGCAAACATTATGCTTTTGTTTTGTAGAGAATGCAGATGAGAGGTTTGGAAATTTAGAGACTCGTACCGGACAAGTTGAAGACCAAGTACACAGTCTTACCGGTAACTTCGAGATAACAATTATAGTTAACAATTATTCTTTTAAATCGAGGTGAATAATGGCTAAATATTTACCGAGCCACGAAGTGGCGAGGTAAATATTCCTAAAGCCACTATTCACCGAGATTAAAAAGGATAATTGTTTTAGTATATACACACGAAGTGATCTCCCCAAAACCAGGGAGGAAACCACCAAAAAGTACGATTTGATTGACACGTCAGGTCAGCTAGACACGCGAAAGTTTAAAAATAGATCTTTATAGAATTTTCAAACATGGCAATTCACAAGCTTATCACTTCGCAAACAACAACGTAATGACTTAAATGGAACCGCTAAAAGTTTGAATTGTTTCCTTACCTGAGAAGAAAAGAAGAGCTTTGTTGCTTTCTGTTGACTCGCCAAGTTTATGACCGAAAAGGTTTGTTGTGTCGTTCTTCGCATGAAGCGCTGACAAAAATGGCGATTCGGTTCCTCGAGGTAAGACGTCGTTTTCATGTAGCACTCTTTGTCCTATTTACTTAAAACGCAGAATTTCTGCAAACATTTGCTTTCAAATTTGTTTGTCATAAATAAACTTCGTTTTTGGGCCAATTTTTTCTTGTTAGGAAACGCTGAGTTCACGAAACGGCCTCTTCTAAGCGAATAAACGGGAGTTGTAAACAATCCATCGACCACAAAACTCAACTACAGTAAATGAAAAAATGCCGTTTTCAATCCGTCGAAGTCTTTTCTTGCCTAAAAAAAAAGTCAGCCCTAGGATTTTGTCGACTTCTGAAAGATCTTTCTCTAAAAAAAATGGGAAAAAAAGCGAGCTCACACATTATTCACTCGCTGGGAGGTGAATATCGTTAATAGTCCGAGATAGCGAACCAATCAGATTGCTTAAATCACCAAGATCACTGACTGTGTATTTGCTAACTACGTTTAGTCTCATTTACGGAAAGAAGACAGCAGATCAGCGGTTTAAACTTTAATAAGTTAAAGACCTTAGAAAGGTCAGTTAAGCAGGTTAAGTCGGGCGTCACATAGAACCCTCTAACTGGCGCTGCCTCTGTTAAGTCTATGCACCCAGTCTGTTAAGTCCAGTGGTCGCGGAATGAAATACCGGGGATGAGATCGGAGGACAACACATGCACATGTCCTCTTTACATGATATGTTAACATACCAAGAGTAAGCGTGGACGTCATCATACAAGGGCACCACTGGCAGTTGCTATCAGCTATGAGCTAACTGTAACCCGCCCAGCCATGGTATGAATGATGTGTGCAAGGCAGTCTACACCACCATGGAAATGTTCCCCACTCTTTTCAAACAGTAGTGTGGGATCTTTTTACCGCCCCTTCGACTGAAAGAAGCATAAAGAATAACGGAGGCAGGGCCAACGGCTTAACGTCACCGCCTAAAGACGCCAACATCTTAAATGAGAATCACAGCGTTCATGATCTTAACAGTTTTTTTTAAGACCCTGGTTGTTCGTCAGGCCCAGGCTTGAACCCCCATCCTCTCACTCGGTAGACTGGCGCTCTCACAACTGAACTGCAAGGATCACATTCACTTTCATATCATCATCCGCAGCTTACATACCTGTAATATACATGAATGATTAATTTCATTTATTATAAGTCAAAAGAAGGATTGAGGATATTGTTTTGCACGGGAAAAAAATTCCTTTTTAATCCAAGTTGCTCCCTTCTCCTGTCTTACTCAATTGCAGCAAAGTTTCATGACCTGACGGCTAAAGAATCTGCTTTGACAAACGCTTCTCTTCAAGACCAACTGATGACATGTGACGGTAGGTTTGTCATTGATAATAAATATAGTTGCATGATTTACAGTGAAATTTTATTTGTGACAAGAAATTATCGAGAGAAAAATCAAATTACTTTGCATATAGTTGTCAAAGGAAGATCATTTTCTCTCAACATTTTTGTATAATCAGACGCCATACTTTCCTGTGGTAGATAGTTTTAACAGATTGACGACGCTTTGACAGAGAGTTTGATAAAAAGTAGTGGTACGAATGGTTTGCTTTCTTGTAGCGACTGAGATACTTGAAATGAAAACTCAACTCAGTAAGGAGAAGTCCAACGCGCGTGAACTTTCGTCGACTGTTAAAATACCGTAAAATTCCGAAAATAAGCCCCTCCATGTATAAGCCCCGCCAAATATAAGCCTCCTAAACCGGTTACGCAAAAAACCGTCCGTTAACTCGCCCCTCCAAATATATGCCCCCCAGGGGCTTTTCTTGGAAAATTGCCCTCAAATAGAATGTAAAACAAGGCAAAAACGATAAATTTACTTCCAACCATAAGGCTAGCCCAATCGATTTTGAAACGCAAGTTTCCCTCCGTAGATAAGCCCCTCCGAATATAAACCCCTCCAATAATAGGCCCCTCAAAAAGGGCCTTTGAAAAATATAAGCCTCGGGGCTTAGTTTCGAAATTTTACGGTATGTTCCTTTTTATCTATTGTTCAAATGTATATTATTTTAAACACTGAGGAAATTATATGTGTCATTTCTGTTTTCCCTTATTAGTCAATCCAGGTAAACTTGTCGAACTTATCAGACGAGACTACAAAGGCGCGGTGTTGTGTCCCTTTCCATGGTGTGAAGATGAACTACAACTGAAGCTATCGAACATCTTCACAAGACTACAGATAGTTAGTAGATCAAAAGAACGTTCACAACTAACGGATAACACCGTCAATATGACAGAAATATTCAAGTCGCATCCAGAATGGCACAATCCAAGAGTGGTGCTGATCGAGGGGAATCCTGGGATGGGCAAAACTACGTATTGTCAAAAGCTGGCATATGATTGGTCCGTGGGGGAAATTCCACCTGATGCTTCGTTTCCTGAAGTGAATATATTGCTGCTGTTGAAATGCCGTGACATGCACATGAAAACCGCTAACATCGAGGAAGCTATTGATGATCAACTTCTGCCACATGATGCAAACAAGAGGGAAAAGGAAGACTTGTTCCACTTTATTCGCTCTAATCCGTCCAGAATCTTTCTGGTTCTTGATGGTTTAGACGAACTGCGGGAAGACCTGCTGGGGGGTTTTCTGCCTTTGATTCAAGGAAAAGCCTTTGCTAATGTGTACCTCATGTTAACAGCTCGACATGAAGCAGGGATGAGAGTAAGGCGTTATTTTGACACGCTTCTTGAACTTGTTGGTTACACAAAAGATGACGTCGAAAGTTACATTAAGAAGTATTTCATCAGTCATGGGGATCAAAGCCTTGCTGACAAAATGATTAAACAGTTAATCCTCGACAAACAACTCGCAGAATTAACAGCAAACCCCCTTAATACAGCTTTGTTGTGTCTTCTCTGTGAAGAAAAAAGAGGAGTGTTTCCTTCGAAAAGAACCATGATGTACGATGACCTTGTGTCGTGCGCCCTCAGAAGGTATTTTGCAAAAGGAGGTATTTCTTTGGGTGACCAAGATCCGATGGAGCGATGTGTAAGTGAGCTGAATCAATTGGGGAAGATGGCATTTGAGGCTTTGCTTAAGAATCAGATATATTTCACTCAAGATGAGCTGAAATCCCATCCTGCTACTTTAAATTTCCTACGGTTGCCGTTTCTTTCCCGTGAGCCAAGTGTGAGCAAAATCAGACCAACACCAACCTACGCGTTTACTCACAAAACGTTTCAAGAATACTTTGCAGCCTTTTACTTGGCCCATCAGCTGTTATCTGGTGACAAAGAGAAAGAGAGACTGTTGGATGAACTCAGTCCTATTGACAACTGGCAGGCGTGGGAATTTCTCATCGCATTAGTGTTAAGCAAGAGTTTTGAAGCAGCAGTAACCGTTGTGTCTCGGCTTTGTGCTTTCTTTTGTCACAAGAGGCACCTAAGTTTAACGGACTTGAATCGCGATGAAGCTGATTTGGATCAGAAAATCTTCAAAGATAATCCGCATGACTGGGCTGAATATTTGACAAAAATGGGTAAGGATGACAGAACGCTATGTAACGTCCTCAACAACACACTTGATCTTATTGCTGAGTGCGAAGATGGTGATAGTGAATTGAAGGATTACCAAAAGAAAGTTGTGCGTGTGCTTGCCCGCTGCTTTCCAATTCAAAAATTGGAACTTAAACTAAGTGATAGTACAACCTGCTCCGTGTGCTCTGAGTATCTAAGATTCAATTACAGTTTGACAGATTTGATTTTGCGTAGTACGTTTGACACAAAACTGTTAAAAACAATTGAACATGTTTTTCGTTTTAAACAAAATTTAGTGCATTTTAAGTTATTTGACTTGGCCTCGGCTTTTGATGCTTTTATTGGTGTATTAGTTGCTCCGCCTGAACAAGAAAAGGCCTTCTCAAATCTGGCTCAACGTCTAGAGTGGAAGAGTTCGGTTGGTATCAAAGCACTACTGTGTGAAGTCCTTCAGTCAGGTCGTGTTTTAACACATCTGAATCTAGAGCGTGTCTACATCTGTGATGGAGGAACTGAAGTACTCGCAGAGTTCCTTCAAACAAATCGGGCCTTGACAAATGTTAATTTACGTGATGCTATGATCTTTGATTATGGAGCCTTTGCACTCGGGAACGCTCTTCAGTCGAATTGCACATTGACACATTTGAGTCTTCCAGAAAACTGGATCAGTGGTGTTGGAGCTTTTGCTTTAGCGGCAAGTCTGGAGTCCAATTCTGTGTTAGTATATTTAGATCTGAGCCAAAATCTTGGCGGCGATTTAGTTGCCCCGTCGCTGTCAAAAGCTGTGGAATCTAACTGCACCTTAAAGTACTTAAATCTAAGTCAATGCATTGACTGCACTGAAAAAGATACACCTTTTCAGGATTCTGCTAACGTGCACGTTGAGATGATTGGGTCTGAAGGAGCATCAGGCCTTGCAAAAGCTCTTCCATTCAACTGTACATTGACTTATTTAGATCTTCAGTATAATAACATCGGCGACTCAGGAGCAGCTGCACTTGGCGAGGCTCTTCAAACAAACACAACTTTGAAGGAGTTATACCTCAAAGATAATAAGATAGGGGAAACAGGATCAGAAGCCCTCGGAAAGGGACTGCAATCAAATCATACTTTGAACCATCTGAATCTTGATTTTAACCAGGATATTGGTGATTCAGGCGCGGCAGCCATCGCAAGGGCACTGCAATCAAGCCGCAGTCAATTAACCCGGTTAGACCTAGGTTTTAACAAAATCAACTCCTCAGGTGCCACCTCTCTCTCAGAAGCTCTCAGCGTTAACAGTTCTCTTACACATCTAGGATTGTGGAGTAATAAGATCAACTCTTCTGGCGCCGCCACAATTGCAAAGTCACTGCAATCAAATCGTACGTTAATTCATCTGGGTCTGGGAAGGAACGAAATTGGTGATTCAGGGGCCAAAGAACTTGCACACGCTCTTAACAATCATAACAACACGTTGTGCTTTTTAGACCTTGGTGGCAACTATTCAATAAGTTCAGTAGGAAGAGAAAGCCTTGAACAGGTCGATCAGTCGAAATGTATCGTGAAGTACGATGGTTGGTGGTAGATTATCAGGGTGTTCTGCCAGATGTAAAATCTTAGTGATTCAGGGACCAGAGAATTAGCAGACACTCTTCACAATCACGACAACAGTTTGATCTGTTTAGATCTTAACGAGAGCCGTTCTATGGGTCCAGGTAGATCAATGGAATCGCGCCATGAAGTACGATATGCCATGGCTTACATCTAAAACATTTTATTTTTTCTCTAGAAACAGGTTGATTTTTCATATTTCAGAAACACTACTGTGGCTGCCGATTGACGACATAATACGCATAAAGAAACTGTGTATGATGTTTAAAATTGTGAACAAGGAATGTTCAGATTATTTCACAAGTTATAGAACTTATATAAAAAATGCCCATAGCTATAACACTCGATTATCTTCTAATAATGCCTTGGCTGTACCGAATTGCCGGTCAAACGCGGCTCTGCGAACATTTCGTCCAGACAACAACCTTAAAAACATGACTGATGAAAGTAACTTTAAGAAACATTTGCTCGAGAGTTTCTTACACATTAATGCAAGTCGCAAACATTTCAGTTTTACAAGGACATTTTAAGGTACCTTTTTTATTTTTTTTATCTCGATTGTACTGTACTAATTAGGTAGCTATTTTTAACCCTTTTCAATTTTTTACCCTTTAACTTCTTTTTACGATATCTTTTACATTTTAGAATTATTTGTAGATTGGGCCCACAATGTGAACTACTAGGTTTACCAGTAATTGTGTATTGTTTATTTAATGTAAGATGTAAAACACTCTTTCGACAATGTGGGTAACTGTATAAAACAAACTAGCTGCCGCTTCTTATTTCTCGCTCATCCCGACTTACTGAAAGCCTGGAACAGGCTAAGAACGTCGTAAAAAATTAAGAAAACTTTGGGACCTTTCATTGAGTTGTATCGTGTGTCATTCCAAATGCTTTTCATCAAATTATAGAATAAAGTTCATTAAGGTGGCTCGACTGGATTTTTTAGGGGGGATACCTCCCAAGTTAGCATAAACTACGTGGGCATGAGTAGAGATATGGGAAAAAGGTTACCACAACTGTGTTATATAAAGATGAAAATTTCTAATCATCTGGGTTTGAACAAATTCTGTGAGAGCGGTTTGGAAATATTTTGAAACAAAGTTTTAAGAATCATAAAGACAGTGAAATAGCATGCTATCCACACATTTAGCTAATATTTTAAGAAAATGATAAGCTTTGGAAACGCGGCTTCATCTCTCATTGGTTTGATTCCATTGAAAACTGCGTACAAAAAAAGAGGGGAATTGCTCTGGGCGGTCGCGAGTTAGAAGAATTTTATTAACCTGCATTCAGCTACTTTTGTTACAGTTTTTGCACCTAATTTGGTCCATGCCTACAAATTTCGCGTTATTCAAAAAACCGCTCGATAATTTTTTTTATACACTGGACAATCCCGAGATCAATCGTCAATAAATATACCCTGCAAGTTTCAGGAACATTGAAAACAGGGAACATTGAAACCAATATGAGATGAAGCCGCGTTTCCGAAGCTTATCATTTTCTTAAAATATTAGCTAATTGTGTGGATACCATGCTATTTCACTGTTTTTTATGATTCTTAAAACTTTGTTTCAAAATATTTCCAAAACGCTCTCATAGAATTTGTTCAAACTTTGTCATAATTGAGGCAATTATGGCAGGTACATACTCTCTTATGCGATTTCTTAAAAAAAACTCCTAGTACAGAGAAACACAAAGATAAATAAAAAATGTAATGGCGTCATTACGTTGCCATGGCGACTCCGATTGCAATAAAACCCACATCATAAGAATTTTTCATCTTTTCCGCGAACATTGACTATCAAGTTAGTCTTAAAAATCATTCAGCGGTAATTGGAGATCGGAAAATGGTCTCTCTGATGGAAAATATACAATGTCTTTTATGTCTGGAACATGGCTTTTGGGCTACTGCGCAAAGCGCTGTGGCCGTTATCAACTTGTGGGTTGTTAGAAGGTAAGGGACAGAGAAAAACTATTGGAACCAATCAGAACTTAAATGTGTATTTTTTCCTGGCCTTACAGAACTAATAGGCACTAACTCCCAACTGAGTTTGTGCCTCGTCGTCGTCGCTTTGGCTGGATTTGGTCGTGAGAAAGGAGAGTACCGAAAGTCGTGAATGTTTCGTCTTGGATTTAATCTTCGCAGAGCCGATGCAAAATTTGGTCGGTTGTTTCTGCGGCAGTTTGCTTTTGGCGATGAATTTCGACGACCGAAGTATTTTATAGAGAAGCGGACATGCGGTTTGGACCATCGGCTTCAAAATCTTAGAGTGCAGCTAACCCACAAAAACGTTTTTCTCCCTTGCTGTTGAGATTAATTGTGCGAAAAAAGAATGTCCTATCCTTTTCCAGTTCATTCGTTTATAATTTTTAAACTGTTCCAAATTTTGGCGGTTCTTTCTGGTCAGTACCGAGCACTGCGAAGAATAGCCTGTTCCAGGTGTTCAGATAGTGGAGTGCGAGTGCGAGCCCTACTATCTGAACGCCTGGAACAGGCTTTGCGAAGAATAAGTTCTTGTTTTGTTCTGAGGTCATTGAAGGAGATCGATTTTATGCTAGCAACATTTCTTGTGCCTCCCCATCAGGCGCTTCGTTCTTCGCACAGTGCGAGCGCAAAACGCGAGTGACACACAAGTGACTGGTGACGGATGCGCAAGGGACCATGGGAAGCAGAAAGAAGCGACAGTTTTCTCCTTCTCGCCTTCCTTTGCTCGCAAATTCTCATCGAGATGGATAGACGTCGACGTCTGGATACGATTCAAGTCTCTTGAAGCGTGAGTTGTGTTGTATTGACTGTATTAGAAATACAGTCGATCCCCGAAGAGTTAACAGGCTCATAAGATTCAATTCTAGGGTGATACGCATTTTGAATGTATCAAGAGAAGAATGAAATGGTTATCGTAAAACACTTTTCCCTTTCTCGCTTCCCAATCAGATGCTTATGAGTACGGTATGCGGCAAATGGCGTCCTTTGATGATGTCACACGTTTGTACCCAGCTCAAACAAATGCTCGGTAATGTATGGAACCAGGGAGTTCTGATGGGAAATGATAAGACACCTAACTTAAAACAGCCGAGGAAACGTCGGGATTTTATCAAACACGATAATACTTTCGAGCCGCGAAAAACATTTTGATAAACCCTTCCACGGCTTTTTCAACTTTTGACATTGACCAGTTAGGGAAAATCCGTCATCACCACTGGAAAAAGCGCCTTAAAATTAAACTGCCAAATTTGAAAGTGATACGTCGTGAGCGAGCGAAGATATAGCTCTGTAAAGTTGCGAAAATTTAGACGGACGTTTGTCCGGGTGGGGGCCAAGTTTATGCCACCCACCATAAAAAAGTGTCTAAGATTCCGCGACTTTAAATTCAGTTGAGGAGCCATATCTTTGTTAGTTTTCAACAAATCACTTTCAAACTTTGCAGTATCTTTAATTTTAAGGGGCTCTTTCCAGTGTTATCAACGAATTTCCCCTAACTTGTCCAAGTCAAAAGTTGAAAGAAAAAAAACCGGGGTAAGGTCTATTCATATTTCTTCTCACTTTGTAGACGAATTGTGTAGACAGTAGGTCACATGTTCTACAAATGTGACGAAGTGTGTTTCAGTTTTGATGGTCAAAACCTTGCTTACTTTCTGCTTTCAGACTTTTTTACTAATATTCATTTATTTTATTTATTTATTTACCAGCTTTTCTGGACACAGGCCTTCCCAGAGGGAATGTGCACGAACGGGACTCAGGTCTCATGCGAGGTGCCATCCCTACCCAATCCCACAACCCGTAAAGTTTGGCCACACCACCGGGGTCTACGACCCTTACTCTTTTCGAAAAGTAATGTGGGTTCTTTTACGTCCCACAAGAACAAATCAGTGAAACTGCTGTGAGACGGGCCCTTCCGTTTTTCGTCCTTATCCGAGAATACTAGAAAGTCTAGCCATGTGCAGTTGTCATTACAAAGGCAGCACTTTCTTCTCAGTTATTTAAAGACCCTGATAGCCTGCAGTGCAGGCGTACTTTGGGTGGGCGAAACCTTTTTCGTGTTCGTAATATTGTTGTAGCCGCCATCCTTGATTTTATGACAGTGGAAGATTGGGGAGAGTAGAAATAGTAACCCTTACGGTAGGTGCTAGCAAATTGCGCGCTCAAAGAAAACGCCTGCACTGCAGGCTAAGACCCTGAGTGTTAGTCTTGCCGGGGTTTGAACCCGCGACCTCCCACTCGACAGACCGGCGCTCTCCCAACTGAGCTAACCAGCTGCTTGGGGAAGGGATAGGAGGAGGGTTGATCCTATCGGCCTAAGATAGTACGCGCGCTCTGATTGGCCGAGAGGTGTGTTTGCATGAGAGTATATAAACATGGTTGTGACGTCAAGTTGTTTTTCTCTTCGCGCGCTAATCACGCAAGCGCGAATTTGAAAAAGTTTTTGAGTTGAAAACCCGACAAATTTACTTTATTTATCCATTCTCACGACGACTGAAACTTAGAAAATCTTTAAAAACATGCTGTGTAAATATTTTTTCGCTGAAACTGACATTTTAAGCGAGAAAAACCCTTGTTTTGGAAAGCATTTTTATTGCAAAACAAGAAGTAATTACGCGTACAAGCTTCGTGTACAACTGGCTTCGCGATTGGTAAGAATTTCTCTCTTAATCAGTAACCTAAACAAAGAGTTTTGCTTTTTTCTCAAGAAAGTTATTTTACAAAAGCAGTAAAAAGCTTTTCTCCTGTGTTTGCATAGCCTCATACAAACACTCGAGCGGTTCGGAGAATTCTCGACAGTTACGCAAACCCTCGACCTCGTCTCGGGTTTGTATAACTGTCTTGAATTCTCCCAACCCCTCTCGTGTTTATATTGGGCTATGCAAACACGGAAAACGTTTTCTATTACTTAAATATTGTTCTGTCGGCAACATCCACGGGACATCACGCTAACTTTAAAAACTAAAAACTAAAAACAAAAAAATGGTGAT